TCGACAATTATATCAATCACAGCCTGCGAAAACAGCTTTTTGAACGTTTGAAGCTCAGATAGACCCGTAGCGCTCGATTCAGAGGATTTATAGCGTAATTTGAGCAAGGGTTCGTACGCAGGGAGCTCAGGGAGATGATTTTCGTCGAATTCGGAGGAGAGAGGAAGATGCTCAGTTGCGACAGGGCGCAACGCAGTTTCTGGTCGATTTCGAGCTTTTTTTTTCGTGATTTTAGGGTCAGTAGCTGGAGAAGGCGCTCTTTTCTCTTCCCAAATAGTAACAGGCTTGCGCACACGCTGGGATTTGCGTGGTATCATGTCAAAATAGCCTTATTGAGCGTCAGAATTTGAGGATAGAAATTTGAGGTGGTTGCGGCGAAATGATGCTAAAATTCTTGGCACGCTAAAAGGGATCCAAAACGCAGCACAAGGGATAGACATCAGATTCGTCCAGCAAGAGCACTACGTTGCAGTGTTTCGCAATCTTGAAGATTTGGGAGAGTTCAACTTCTAGAGACGCGGCCTTAAGGCTTAAATCTGCTGCAGAAATCTAATTATACAACATGAGTGGAATCAGGGATGGGCACCAGAAGACTTACAGAATAGAAGGGGAGTTCCAAATGTTCGGAAACGGCTTCTGTAGTCAGGGTCTTTCCCACTCCCGGGGAACCACTGAAGAGATGAGTTAGTTGCGTAAGAAGATAGAAGAGTAGAATAGGCCGTACTGCAATAGCACGTTCATGCCTCGTCCTTTGCCAGCAACGAAATCATCAAAAACTTTGTCCTTGTCGCGATTTATCTGATTGCTGACGAGAGCCATGATTATCTCTTTGTATTGGCTTGGAATCTCTAAGCAGTCAAAAGGATCAGAGGACCAGCTGATAAGTTCGATATCAGCGACAGCGAATTCCACTGAATGTGGTGATTAGTGTCATGATTCAATGTCCTCATGAAAATTCTTACACCATAATTTGTCTGTGAAACTAAAACCCGGCACGGTTGGGCAACAGACGAGCAAATCAGTGAGCTCTAATTCATTTGCCTCCAGGTCGGCGTATCGCACTTTTTCTGTGCTGTCAGTCGATGTGCTCGAACCGCCAAAGAAATCAATGCAGCCGATTGCTGAGCTACTGCCGTCCACCTTTGGTCGTGCGTAATTAGGGTTCATCTCCCGAAAGAAAGAAGCGTCAATCATCACTCGACTATCAACTGAAACTTTGACCAGCTTATCTTTATTTATGAGGAATGCATTGCCACGGCAGTGGCGATAGTACGTGCCACACAAGGAAAGGAATCTGCGACCGCAGTCAATAAGTTCGGCTTTGATTCGGCTTGAAGCAGAATGATATGGTAATGGGAAGGCGTTCAGTCTGTTGATGAGGACGTAGCCGCGAAATTTGGGGATGTCGATTGAGGTCGACACTTCCCCAACAATCTTACCGTCAAAGTCGAAATATCGACAATCCAGCCGATAAAACAGCAGAGAGCGGCCACCCGGGTCCGGACGCGCTGGTCGTCCAGGCTGCAAAATCGGGGATGAAAGCAATAAATCACCAGGTGGAAATTCTTCACGGCGTTTGAGGCTTCTAGATTGTTTGTAGGCATTTCGAAACTGATGGCATCCATATCCGCGTGGACGCCGTTTGTAGCCTCGTCTGATAGCGTTAAAGAAAAGAGAATAGTCCTCCACCAGACCGTCAGTATCTACAACCGGCTGCCACCCGGATCCGGACGCGCTGGTCGTCTGGGCTGCGAAAATGAGGGCGACTGATCAACGGATGGTCGAAATCCTCGTGATATTGGACAAGGCTTGTTAGGCATTTGTAGGCATTTTGAGGGCGTTCCACATTTGTGTGGGGATCGTTGGCTGTCTCCTTGCCTGATAGCTAAAGCTCTTATAAGTGAATACGTATACCTTACTCCTGGAGCTTTAGCGCTTAACAACTATGTAAAAGAGACTTGGAGCCTATCCCTTGTGAGCCCGAATACCTCGAGATGAGCATCCTTCCTATTTGGGACTAGTATTTTTTGCTTATAAAAGGCTAATTATTATAGCTATAACACTATAAATAGTATCACTCGGAAGCTAACTCTTCTAGCTTTCGAGTGATACTATTTATAGTGTTATAGCTATAATAATTAGCCTTTTATAAGCAAAAAATACTAGTCCCAAATAGGAAGGATGCTCATCTCGAGGTATTCGGGCTCACAAGGGATAAGGGGCCAGGATTTTTTTTGAAAGAAGTAAATAATTCTTATATTGTAACAATTTGCTCTATATAAATATAGTAATAATAAAGAACCTTATATTTAAAAAGATAGACTATTTGCTTTAAGATCATTACAAGGCAGGTATCTCTTTAAAGAGCGTTGTAGTAATTTATTAAGAGCCATCTATATATTAGCCTTAACTAGCCCTTTACTCGCTATTTATAAGCGTAGATACTCTGGAGCTTCTAATCTGCATCAAGTCCGGGGTAAGATATGCACATTTCAAAAGTGCCTAGGGAATCCTCCTTCAGAGTTGATTTTTTTTGTCGCTTCTTAAACGGTTTCTGATAGCTAATTAAGTGAAGAGTAGTAACTAATGTTTAGGGTCATTAGCGCAGATATCAGTCTCCCCTAACATCTTATTAGTAGGCGCTTTTCCAAGTCGGGGTCCTATTTAGACTAAGAAGAGTTCCCCTTTCTAGGCCTTTCTCTATTTATAGAATGTCTTAACTGATGAAGCAAATTTGTACAACTCTTAGCAATTGTGTACTAGCCTATATCTTTAACAGAAAAACTTTTTGTTCCTAGGCATGCAAAAGTTTAGAAGCGCTAGGTCAGGTTGAAAATCAGAATTATAAATTAGTCTAGCTAGTTAAGAATTAAGTGCTATAAATTAATGCTTGTTTATTAGATTAGTCTAGAGCTTAAGGCGAGATTATTTGGTTATATACTCATTACTATTAGACTATTAATATACTTAAAGCAAGACGGAAAGCAATAATGATTTCCTTTATTCTCTTATTTATATATTATCTCAGAACGGTCAGTACTATAAAAGTCTTAATCAAAGATCTCTCCTGCTTAAAGAACAGCCTGTATATAAGAAATGGAAAGAGGTTTCTTCTTTTTATTTACTAGTGCAAAGGCTATAAAGACAGCGTTCTTAATCTAAAAGAGACTAGTAAAAAATGATCTAGATAAAGATTAATTAACTTGCTGCCTATTAAGCTCTTTATTAAGCTTTTCCAGCTCTAGCTAACTTATATCTGTAGCTCTAAATCATATGTTTACCTTCTTAAAATAGATCTTCTAGACTATTATTCTCGCATCTTTATCCAAGCGGCTATAGTGTAGCTTTAGATAAATTCTACTTAGAATCACCTTATTAAAGATTTTTACTTAATTAGTTATAAGAATAAGGATTCTACAGAAGTATTCTATTATTTGCAAGAATATAGACACAAGACTATAATAGATAATGTATTCTGTCTTATATTACTCTAAGTACATATCAGCCTTATTAAGAAGGAAAGGGATGTCTTATTAATGCCTAAGCTCAAAGATATTATAAAGTCGATATTCTAGTGTTTCTAGGTCCGTACTTAGTTCTCTAGCAGAGATCTTTAAATATCAGTCTACTATTATATCTGTATTGCGACAAAACCTATAATATATAGCGGTTTCTAAAGGTGCTCAGACAGGAGCTTAGCTATTAGGGTTTTTCTAACACCAGGAGGTTCGCTAATAATGTGTTAGTTACAGAGAGATAAAGACGTGAGAGTCATACTATAAAAGCATGCTAAGGCTGTACCTCTTTCCCTTAACCATATTACAGAATAATAGGTCTCTAACTCTATAGTTTAGGTCTCTGTAAGTACTAATACTATTTCCTTTTGCACTTTAGGAAGAACTAAGTTATTAAATGCAGATATATTTTACTAGATGTCTTTAATACTAATAATCATGAATTCTATTACGTAGGTGATTAGCGTGTTAGTATTATAGAACGTGGAAATATATCTATATTATATCCTGTCTGCATAACTAAAGCCTAGTACAATAGGGCTACAGATTAGCAGTCCATCTTTGTCTAGTTCCGTAGGGTCTAATCCCTAGATCTTTACTTTATCAGGCTATTCTATAGTTATAAAGAAAAGATTAATATAGTCAGATTGCTTTAGCTTATTAATGCTTAGCTTCTTGTAGCCAGGGGTATTCTGATAGAAAAAAGCAGTATTAATAATAATATAACCTTTGATGTTAAGTAGAATTAGCTCTTTGTAATATATATAAAATGCGGGGCTATAGTAATAGCGATGATGATATAATCCTATTAGCTTAATAAACTTCTTGCTGTACTTAGTCACATGCTTTTTAATCTTTTACGTTTTTAGATAGTATTTAAGAGGGAATACAGTAAGAAGGTAGATTAGCTTTGCTCTTTGAAACTTCTCTATGCCTATTGTAATACAGGACTCGCTAAATACCTTACCGTCAGAATCTAAGTAGTGACCTTTTATGCGAAAGTATTTCACACGTTGTTTAGTTACTCGCTCTTTAGTGAAATCGAGTTTGATGCATCTCGGTTCCTTTATTCCTACGCAATATGTGTAGATAATGCTATTCAGCTTAAAAAGCGCTTATAAAAGGTTGTATGTGATGTTGTTATCTGCTAGAAGCTTAGTAAGACGTGCTGAAATAAAGGTATAAGCGAAATTAACATAATTTAATAAGAGGCAGAGGTGATCTAGAGCACTCTTATCACCTGCTAAAAAAATTATATAAGCCTTAAGCTTAGTAAGGTAATAAAATAAAATACTCTAGTCAATCTGCCTTAAGTAAGCAATTATATAGAAGAAGTAGCAAAGCCTGATATACTACAGATTTATCTTCCTTAGGAGATAATCTATGTATATTGTTTAAGATATCCTTAAGAATATCCTATAAGGCCCTTGATTTTATATTAATATAGTGTACTAGGTCCTCCTTGTCCTTCTCTAGATGTTATTAGCTTTTAATTCATTAAAGAAAATTATTAACTTATTTGCTCTTAGACAATAAATATATATTTATTTAGTTTACTTATAGCTAAAGTTTAAGCTATATATTTGATAGTTTTGTACTTAGACGTAGCAACATCTTACCTTAAAAGATTAGCTTTATTAATTATAATAGTATTCTTTTAGACTTATACTTCTTTAATCTTCTTATATTTAAGCCTAAATGCCCGATTCTTTAGCTGCTTTAATTGAGTAATTACTATATTAGCAGTTAAAGCTGATATGAAGTCTAAAGTCGCCTTAATAGAAACGACTATTTCCCTAAAAAGCTTAGCGAGATTTATAACATCTAGTAGATTCTATATAACAACTTGTGATATAGGGCTGCTTAAAGGTGTAGCTAAAGAAGAAAGTTGGTTTATATTAGCCAGATTGTCCTCTGCTCTGACCTCTAGTATAAGACTGCCTAGAGGCGTGAATAAAGGGGATTTGGTAGGTTAACAAGGGACACTAGTCTTGGCTTTCATGGCTTTAGATTTTGGCATTTTTGCTGTATAAAGAGTGAAGTGTCTTAAAATCAATTAAAGAGAACTGATAGCACGAATCTATATCTTAGGTTCTTGTTGTCTTCTTATACTTGCTCAGCCAGGAGCTCCACATCTCTGCTTGATCCGTCCCTAAGCATTATGTATTCTAATACCCTAAGCGAAACCCCCGGCACAATGACTTAGATCCGGATCCTAGTTCTGGTCGAAGGTCTTTAACTGAATTAGCACGTTTCCAAATAGTGAACAACTGCAAGCTCAAGATATGTGTTAAGACCAGGAATAGCCATGTTAACTATGCCTTTATTATGTATGAATCGTTCTTGACTACTTGTAGTAGATGTTGCTAAATGCTTTGTCTAGTCTACGTTGCTGTTTTCGTACGAGTTAGCAGATTTCTTCCTGGAGGCATATTAGTCATATTAAATGATCTTAGGGTACAGGTACCGTGATTAGTAAATTAATTAGTTAGTTATTTATCCTTGCTTTCTAGTTTTTCCTGATTTTTCTTGATTTTCCTTAAAAGTTTTAGTCTTTTCCCTCTTATTATTTCCTTTTTGCTTAATCTTTGTAAATACTCATCTAGATTGCTAACTATTTATATAATTGATCATCTAATAAAGGCGCCTTATATTACACTTTATATAATAACTCTAAAT